TGACATGACTCAAACTTGAAACTGAGAGTTTAGGAGCAAGGAGCCCATGGTCACTCCTCTAGGAATGTTGGGTGGAATTCTCAAGTGTTGGGTAGCTTCACGGCTTCTTAATGGGAATGATGGTACTTAGATTTTTGAGAAATTACATGGTTCTCATGGTCTGTTCTGAGAAAGCTATTAAATCCATTTCGGTAAGCTGGGCCTCATCTGAGCCCTTGTTGGGCCAGGCCGTGGGGGTGTTTGGGAGATTTGATGGCCAGCTGTGTAACACAGCCCTCTGGGACTGGCAATTTCCAAACTCTCTCGGACGAAGCTGGGAGGGAGCTCCGTAGCGAGTGATGCAATGTTGGAGTTATATGCATTGGCAGTTGCCAGTGTCCAACAATAAACACCCAGAACCGAGGGAAACTTAGAAGAGTATTTTGGCCTAAAGCCACTGACACCCTGCCAGACAGATAGTAAGCATTCCATAAATGGTAGATTGCGCTGAGTCGGGGTAGAACATGTTACTTCACTTTGAAACACACTGACTTTACTCCTATGAGATATGGTAATGTCTGTCCCCGCCGAACCTGTTGGTTAAGTATTTTCAAAGATTCACTGTTCTAAAATTAAAAGTTATTATTTTAGTAGAGATTTCTTGACTTATAGCTGGCTTGAAAATACTCGTTCTATGAACATGTTTCCTCAGTTACCTTGGGATACATTTGGATCTAGTGGGAAGTAGCGTTGCTCAAAACTAGTGGAGTGTTGGGATATGGGAAATTTCAGGGATTTTGTGCAGCTGATATGGGTGTCTGTTTTTACCTGTCTCAAAAACACAGTTGGGCCAAAGCCACATCATCCATACTCTAGGGAATAGGAATTTGGAACCCCCTCATAGCCTGTTCATCTGTGCTAAGAATTCTGGTCCTGCCTTGAATCATCACGTGGTTCTCCTGGGAGGGAAGGCATGGCACCTCTTCTCTGTGCTAGAGTCTCAGTTTTCACACAAAGTGGACAAGCTCACCCCTGGTGGAACCCTGTCCTCATGCCAGATGAGGGTGGTCATCCCGTAGCATGACCCAGCTATACTTGGGCATGAGCCAGAGAGCTTACCACCCCTCAGGACTCTGTGGAGAGCAAAGAGTGATTAAGGAGAATTTCCTGGAACATTATATAGCCTCTCTACTCTTTAGCAGTATCCTACTTCTTCAGAACTTCTGTTACTGAGTTGTGATTTTCTTTTTAAATCAATTTTCAAGAAGAAACATCCATGTGAAATGTGTCACTGAGCCCATGTGGAAGGGTATGGTCCAGAACATTGCTTATCATACCACAGTGACCTCAGAGGACCACCGTGGAAATTTCTGTCTGATCTTGGTACCAAGAACATTCATCCTTCTTCTGAGTAATTGATTAGGAATTGTGAATTATACAACTGCCATGTTTTCTCAATTTGAGTTGGCTATTACAAAGCTTACTATAAATGCAACTGGCTGGGTAGCTTGATAGGGTATGCATGGTTACCCTTATTCTCTCTATCATCCTTCGGGTTTCTTTTGGGTTTTTTGAGGTTAGTAATTTCTTCTATTTTAGATTATGTATTTTTTTTTTAAGATTTTATTTATTTATTTTGTAGAGAAAGAGTGTGCATGCATGAGCAGGGGGAGGGGCAGAGGGGGAGGGAGAAAGAATCTCAAGCAGACTCTGTACTGAGCGTGGAGCCCAATGTGGTGCTTAATCTTATGACCCTGAGATTGTGACCTGAGCCGAAACCAAGAGTCAGACGCTCAACTGACTGAGCCACCCAGGCGCCCCTAGATTATACGTTTTTGAAAGTCACTCACTACTGAATCCTTTGTTGAATAAAGTAATGGTTAAAAAATATGTAAAAAAGATGACCAGTGAATTTTCTTTAATTTCTGAACCATGTAAAATTTTTCAGTGCCGCAGATCCATCCATCCATCTATCCAATACTGATTTTTAGACTAAGTATGAATAATAAAAACTAATTTTTTTGGTGCTTATTACATTTAAAATTAAAATTCAGGATTCTGACTTGTTCAGGATTTTGATCTGAGACCTCTATAGCCTCCTTCCTTCTGCTCCTCATTTTTAAGGTTCAAGGTAAGGGGGACCTTCCTGATTCTCATTAATTCATTAACTATGGAACAGTTTTGGGCACTGAAGTCATGATGAACAGAGTAAAAGTTAACATCCTTATGTAGCATTTTATAGTTTTTGTGTAACGTTTCATGTTGATTCTCTGTCTTTTAACAATCTTTTTAGGTAGGTAAGTAAGGTAGATAATCTTACATCCTCATTTTTCCTGTTGAGTTTCAGAATAGATCATTTACTTGCCCAAGGTCATATAAGTAAGAGAGCCTGGTGCAGGAGCTTGGGTATTTTGAGGGCAAGTACAATACCCCTTTCTCTATATAGTTTGGTTTCTGGAACTTTCGGGGACTTAAAAATGACAGGACGCTCCTTGGGAGTGTTTTTTGAAGGTGAAATAGAAAGTTCTGTCTGGCAGACTTTTTAGGAGAAGCTATGGATCAACTGTCACGGACACAGTATTTCTGACATCCGCTCACCTCAGACTGGAAGGTTGGGGCCATGGGACCCCTCAGCCTTGTCAATTTTTGCAGGTATATGAAGCCGGGGATTAGTTTTGGTAATTCCTCCCCCCCGCCCCCAGCATGCACACTTCCCTGTGAAAACTGCTTGACACCTGACACAGCAATGGACTCCAGGAGTTGACGATGAATCAGAGTGAGATTAAAAAACGTGGTACATCAGTGTAATGTAAGCAGGCCCCTGGTATTGCCGGATTGCGTCAGAGTGGTGTGTGTGCTGTGAAAAATCGGGTGGATCACATCTTCCAGCTGCATCAGTCAATTCCCTGGTTGCCCCGCAACAAATTTAAGGTGACTGGTGTCATCCCATTTATAACACGAACCCAGTTTCAATGAGTTAGGCATCCTGTTTTCAGGAAGCCCCAGTAACAGTGGCCTTCTATAGCGGACTTCTTTTAGTTTACAAATGCTAAGTAAGGTGAAATCATAGCTAACGTTCATTGCAAACTGACCACAGGGTAGGTGCGAAGCTAGTCATGTAACATACATGATCTTCTTTAGTGCTCGTAATAACCTAGTGGTTTAGGAACTATTCTCTTTGGAGAGGGGTGATATGTAGAGTTTGCCCCCAAATCACCCTGCAGGTGACTGGTGAGGTCAAGATTTGACCTGATGCATGCAGTAGGACTGAGGTTCAAACCCCCAGCACTGAGCTTGATGCCTGGTTGCCTTCCGTTGAACCTGAATTCTTTGCAGTTCTCGAAGAAAACTCAGAGTACTGTAATCATTCTCGGGTGCCATGGTGGAGCTAACCACTCCAGGCAAAATGAGTGCTTCTTGGCATGTTGCAACCACAGTGTATCTGCTGCTTGCAAAAGAACACACATGAGGCTCTTCATTCATCCATGTCACGGGTCAATTCCGCAGCCGGGGTCACGGGGAGAAATTTTCCCCCACGTCCAGATCAGACAAAAATTCTACCAGATACAGCTCAATTTTGTTTTCCTGCAATGTTTTATAAATAATGCCCCATAACTCTCGTCTTCTTCCCCACATTGTTCTTCTACTCAGGAATCAGAAGGCTATAGATGGAGAAAACTTGTAGTTCTGGTAGCTAGAATATGTACTTCTTTTAAAGTCTAAGAAAATGTGTTACCAGCTTCTGTGGTGCAGGTGGAAGGGCAGCCGTCTGCAGGCCCCCATTTGCCAGCAAGAATCCAGCCTTGCAAATTATTGGCAGAGGGCACCGTAATGAGTCCATTTCAATATAAATGGGCTCTTGCTTATTAATTTCTGCCAGTTCCTAGGCAATTCAGGAACTGCTTTGAAAATCTGAAAATTCGCAGAGAACAGCTTCAGAAGGATGCCTAGGAAAAGAGAGAGAACAAGCTAGCAATGGGGGAATTATGGAAAGGGCACGCATTGTAGGGTAATAATGGGGTATTGCTGAGGATGCGTGCTTCCTTCCTTGAAAAGCATGAGTCACCCACTTCAGGTTAAATAGCACGTTTTCCGAGATAAGGAAGAATTGCAACTTCACTGATTGTTCCGTGCTCTGCGGATGTGTGCATTTATTTATTTACTGCCTCTGTGGGCTGCCTTCCACAAAGTAGGCAGTTTTCTCCATGTTCCTGTTCAAAGCATTGGGCGCCCTGGGTCCTCACCTTGCTGGAACCCCCCAGCAAAGACGAGTGTGGGGAGGAGGGTGATAAGGTGCAGCCCCCCTGCAAGGAACCCCCAGACTCTCTTCCTTTCTTCCTTAGTATTTGCAGTTTCATCTCAGAAGGCAAGCTTTTTATTTTTTTTCCCTTAAAAAAAAAATATCATTCATACTTCTTGTTCCTGGAGCCGTCCTTGTCTGTTTATCCTCTGTGTTAAGTAACAGTTTAGATATTTCACTGAATTCTTTTCTGTACGTATTCTTCACGAGTTGCCTCCTCTGAATTTGATGTTTGGCCAGCTGAAAACTTGTATGCGATGAGTTCTGTGTATTTGGTGTTTTGTTTTACCGTCTTTTAACGTTTTCTTCAACTTCTGTCGTAAATGTAGCTCTGCTTTGGTAGTAACCGAGACTCTCTTATTTCCTTTTATTGATTATCTCTGTTCATTGAGACCTTTTAAAGATGAAGAGGGAGCCCTGGAAATCATTCCATAGTAACCGGTTTCTGTTAGCCATTGTTGTTCTCCCTAGAAATAGGGGAAAATGGTAACTTAGTCTGTAGGACTGGTTCGTACTGTAAATGTAGACATGCTTGCACGTATTTGTGTATCTGATTATGCCTGCGCTTTATACCTGTAGCTGAAGGTTGCACTGTTTGATTTGGGGTTTGGCGTCACACGCAAAATGGATGTTGGAGAATTGAGGAGAATGGACTCCATGGAAAAGGCCCATTTTCTGTGTTCTGGCTGACCACTTCCTTTCTCTTTTCTGTCCTCTGCAGGTTTTTGGCACATCCTCCGAGACTCAGATGAGACCATGATGGCCTCCCCAAGGGGCAGGTGCTGATACCTCTCCCGAGTCCCTGCCACTCTTCATCCTGACGCCATTCCCAATCTCAGTATCTAAATGCCACAGTGCTCTTCGGGCAAATTGGGTTGGGAACCACTGTTGCCTTGTAAGGTAGGTTTGTATGTATAGTTTTGAGCCCGTATACATCTGCATGAATTAATGGAAATGCTTCCAAAGTGGTGGGACAGATACATTTTAGTGTAATTGGAATTGCTGGGTTGCATGTAGCTCGTGGGAAAAAGAATTTGGAACCACTTCTTTGGATTAGGGTTACACCCATCTAAGAATTCAAAAGCATTAGCATTAAAATTTAGAAAAGAAAAGAAAAAGCCGGTACCTATGAGATCTATTCTCCCCCTGTGAATTGCCCTCAGGGTCTTTTAAATTTATCCCTGAGCTTCACCATCTTTATATTGGATTATGTTTGAAAAAGACAAAGCTAGCTGCAAAATCTTAACTTCAAAACAATGATATATTTTGTTTCTGGTTTGGATAATCTTTAAAAAGCAAAATAAATACAGTCAAAATAATAATCTTTCTAAATCAAAGATCATCTTTTATTTGTTGCAAAACTTTCCTGTTTAGTCTCTTGTGTTAGGGGTATTTGCGTGTGACTTGGCAAAACACTTTTCATGGGTTTGTAAAGATTTAGCAAAAACTTTCAGAACTTTGTCTCAGTTTAATCTTAGCTCCCCCCCTACCCCCTACCCCACCCCTGTCTTCAAGCTCAGCCTTCAGTAGAGAAAAAACAGGCTTGAAACCAAGACCTCCCACTAGAAGCTAATTTTAAATTTGCAATCTGTTGTCTTGTGATTTTCGCTTCAAATTTAACTTTGAAATAAATACATTTCATCCTTTCTCCTGCAGATTTGGAGGTCTGTTTTCAAGTCATAGAAGGGTGATCATTATGTTTATTTTAATAGGTTTTTAAATACCTCAGGGGAGTGAAAAATTACATTATTAATAATTACAATTTATGTGCATCATTAAATGCCTTATGCTTGGATTTCACAATGTCCTTACCGATGACTGAGAAACCTTGCTTTGGTAGTTCACTTTTGACTTGAATGTGATATGAATTGGGTCAGCTTGGGCCCCCTAATGAGCTCTAATGTTTTATATATTTGAAGAGCCCTTGTTATAAGGGGTTCTGCATGAGGAGTACTCCCATCGAGGAGAGCTGTGTGAAGACATTAGTATATTTAGGTAACCAAGACAGGGATGGGTAAGGCATGGTCCCTGCCCCTGGGCCGTTATAATAAGGTGGGAAGGGGGTCCATACAAAGCAAGACAAGTGTGTCAGTGTGCAAATAACCACGCAGCCGACGCCATGTGAAGAGGTCAAGCGAAGTGCTGTTGGAATGTAGAGCAAGCATGATTAAATCCAAGCTAGATAGTATTTTCTTTACCTTAGGTAATTTTTCCCAGCCATCTGTTTTGAGTTTGGGTTTGGAGTCGTTTGTTGTAGCTGTCAGCAGAGTGCCCACATCCTCACTCTCTTCAATTATCAAAAAAACCCAGCGACTTAGAACATGTTAACATGTTTTATTTATTTTTCTTTCCTTAAAATGAATTACAGGTTTAGTGCAGAAACTTTAGAAAATACCAAAAAAAGGTATAAGTTTTGAAAAATCAAAATTACCCACAATCACTCTATCCAGAATAGTTGCTTTTAAAATTATTCTACAGGTCTAGCGTGTGTGTGTGTGTGTGTGTGTGTGTGTGTGTGAGAGAGAGAGAGAGAGAAAGTGAACATATTATTAATATTCCTAAAGAAAATTTTAACCTGCTCAAAACTATTTTCTTGGATGTGCATCTCAAATGTTTTTACTTCCGAGAATAAGAAGAGTTTTGCTCCAGTGACGTTTGACCCTACAGTAGAATGATCTTTTTTGATTATCTACTTCTGAATATATTTGAATTATCTACTTCTATATATTTGAAGAGCCCTTGTTATAAGGGGGTCTGCATGAGGAGTACTCCCATTGAGGAGAGCTGTGTGAAGACATTAGTATATTTAGGTAACCAAGACAGGGATGGGTAAGGCATGGTCCCTGCCCCTGGGCCGTTATAATAAGGCGGGAAGGGGGTTTTTACTTCCGAGAATAAGAAGAGTTTTGCTCCAGTGACGTTTGACCCTACAGTAGAATGATTATCTACTTCTGAACAGGGCAAGCCTTGGCAGGGTGACCCACAAGGCTGGGCTTGGATCACAAAGAATGGAAAGGCTGGGGAAAGGGTGGATCTCTCTGCTGTCTGTTTGGGGGACTGCTCCAACTGCTGGTCTCATCTAGGGAATTCGACTTCCTGGACCATAAACATATAGGCTCCTTAGTTCTCAAGCATTAGCATTAAAATTTAGAAAAGAAAAGAAATGATGAGGTTATTTCCAGTTTCCTTTGTATCTTCTTTCTCTCACTCTTTTCCCTCTGAACAATCTGAAGTTATAAGAGTATTTTTCTTTGTTCCTCTCTGCCCAGAGACCTTGGACATGGGGTGGTTTTCTTTTTTTTTTTTTAATTTTATTTATTTCTTTGACAGAGACACAGAGAGAGAGGGAACACAAGCAGGGGGAGTGGGAGAGGGAGAAGCAGGCCTCCCGCAGAGTGGGGAGCCCAATGCGGGGCTCGATCCCAGGACCCTGGGATCATGACCTGAGCCGCTGAAGGCAGACACTTAACGACTGAGCCACCCAGGCGCCCCATGGGGTGGTTTTCTATTAACTGGAATGTTTTCTCATGTAATACGAAGAAAACGTAACATCAGTGTGATTAGAAACACAGCTTGCATGATTTATCTTGGATCATACAGGTTTTGCCTTTCTTTTTTATTTGTGTTCTGTTTCTCTACTCCTGTATAATTGATGTTCATAATGATTTTGTGTGGACATTGCAAGCAGTTAAGCTTTTCATTTATTTCAAGAGTGCTTACCTTTACTCAGGGAGCATAGTTATAGTAGCTGCTTTATTTTATTTTATTTTTTGGAGAGGAGGAAGTTCCTAAAGAAAAACATTTTACTTTTTTTTTTTTGAGAGAGAGAGAGAGAGCTCGCATGTGTGAGAGGCAGGGAGGGGGCAGAGGGAGAGAAGAGAAGAGAGAGAAAATCTTAAGCAGGCTCCATGCCCAGTGCGGAGCTGGACATGGGGTCTCTCTCATGACCCTGAGATCATGACCTGAGCCAAAATCAAGAGTCAGACGCTTAACCAACTGAGCCACCCAGGCACCCAAGAAAAAAATTTTAATATTGAAGAATTTTTTTTTCCCATTTCATTGATGAATTTGGGTGCACTTTGCATACATTTCCTAGCATGAGTCCCAGAACACATTGGCCTGCAGTTTCAACCATGTAATAGCTGCTTTAAAAGTCTTTGTGTGCTATTCCAACATCTGGGTCACTTTAGGATTGACATCTATGGATTGTCTTTTCTCTGGAGAAGTGATTAGAATTTCTGTGTTCTTTGGAACACACTGTGGACATATTAAGTATCATATTGGGAGACTCGAGGTCCTGTTAAAATCATCTGGAAAGTGATGGTTTTTCTTTTTTGCTGTTTTAGCAGGTGGTCAACCTGCTAAGTCCAGATCACAAGTTGGGTTTCCCTTTTGGTGGATTATGACTCCAATGTCAGTTCCATCTCTCAGTCTTGGCTGGGCATCTTTGGATTTGTCCCACACATGGGCCACCTGGTTGGCAGTCTGGGAGGTGGGCTGTGGTTTTATATAATAATTCAGTTCCCAAAGCCTCTGCTGTCTTGCTTGGGGTCAGTCCGAGGCATGTGCATCTGAGGGGGGTGAGCCTGGGACTTGTGTGGATTTATACACAGCATTGGTGGATTTGCTTCTCTACCTCTCTTTGCTCTGAGATTCCCTTCACTCTTTGGGTGGCCGGGACCACTCTTCTTGGTTCTTTGGCCCGAACAACGAGGTGTGTCGTAGGAGTTTTCTCTTGCCTGTATCAGAGGTGTACTGGGAGGTCAGAGGTGTACTTTCACGGAAGACTGGGAGAGAAAACCAGGAAACCCACTCTTGGATGAGTGGCTTCTTTAGGTTTTTGACTTCCCCACACAGCACGCTTGTGCTTACACTTTGGAATCTTCGGGTAGTTGCTTTTTCCTCTGGTCCCAAGTTTTTTAGTTTTTTATCAGTCAGAGAAAGGTCAGTCCTAGTGCCTAATTCCATCTTGGCTGGCACCAGATGTTGGCAATTCAGTTTTGTTTACTACTTTATTTAGACAGAAGCACCATCCCTAGTTAATCAGCTCTACCTCTCTGTTTAACCTCCCTTTGGACCACTGGTCTGTGCTTACTTTGTATTTCCTGATAAGAGATGCTAGATGATGCTCAATGCATGCTTATTTTTTTTTAAAGATTTATTTATGTATTAGAGAGAGAGAGAATGGGGTAAAGGGCAGAGGGAGGGGGGAAGAGAGGATCTCCAACAGACTCCCCTCAGAGCAGGGAGCCTGATGTGGGGCTCGATCCCATGACCCTGAGATCATGACCTGAGCTGAAATCAAGAGTTGGATGCTCAACCGACTGAGCCACCCATGTGCCCCAATGCATGCTTATTTTTTATTGCCTAATTTGTTGAGACTATATTAGAATGTTTTAGATGGCTTTCAGCTGTAAAAACAGATTTAAAATGTTTCATTTAGAAGAACTCTCACTTTTTTTTTTTTTGAGAGAGAGAGAGAGAACGCGCGCGCGTACATGAGTAGAGGGGGGGCAGAGGGAGGGAGAGAGGGAGAGAGAATCTTAAGTAGGCTCCATGCCCAGCGAGGAGCCCAATGTGGGGCTCGGTCTCACCACTCTGAGATCATGACCTGATTCAAAATCAAGAGTTGGACACTGAACTGACTGAGCCATCCAGGCACCTCCAAAGAGCTCTCACTTTTAAACAAAAATTTCATTTAACCAGAATATTTCAGTTATTTAAGGTTTTGTTTTTTAAATTTTGAAATAATTACAGATTCACAAGACATTGTGTAGAGGAAGTATGTGGCCTTCACCTAGTTTCCCCTAATGGTTGCCTCTTAAATAATTATAGTAAATTATCAGAGCCAGGAATTTGACATTTTCTTTATATGTATAAAAACATTTTTTGTA